TAGGTTTATGTCGAAATTTAAGTTTATCCGTTGAAAATAATATTATATAATATATTATATTAATATTGTTCAGAAAAATGCAGGTTTGAAATAATTAATTCCAATGTTTTTATTACTTATTTAACTGGACTAAATATGATATCGTATTAAATACTGCCGTGTGCATGTTATTATGCTATATCCATGGACTAAATAGTAGATAAGTAAATCATATTCCACCTTTATATGAGGTATATATATATATATATATCTGTGCCCTATAGGTTCGTCAGTATTAATTATTATTGATTTATTATTTTATAAAATATGCCCATATAAAGTAATAATCATAAACTCTATTGTATGATGTTTTGTCCTTTATGGTATTTCAGTTTCGACGCCGATGAAAAAAAGAGACCAACGATCAATGGCGGCCGGTCAGCATATTGGGCCTTGCTGTGCGGCGTCATTGTGGGATTTCCGTCAAAAAAACCGATCAAGGAGCCATTACCAGTGGAGAAGTTTCAGCCCAAAGATAGGCAGTTGGCTTACACGTACCACTACGAGCCCGAGACTCACTTGTTGACGCCAGTGGGATTCGTCTGCCCGGAGACGGACGAGCCGGTGGACATTGAAACGATAAAGAAACGAGCTGAACACGTCGCCGAGGAACCGAACGACAACAGCGACACACATTGCAAAAACTGCAAAATAGGACGTCAGAAGTGCCAGACGTGTACGATCGAGTACGTTGACAAGAAACTTGATCTTGAACGGGATGCGGACAACATATGGGTGGTGGCCCGGCATCGCGACGAGTACGTGGTTTGGACACTCCGGGAACTTGCCAAAAGCAATAGGCAGCTACGCACGCCTGGCAAGGAAATACTGAAAACCATCGATCGACATAGGAAAGAAGACTGGAAACTTAGAGATGAACTGATTGGTCGGCGCAAGCCGAGTCCGGGTGAGTCGCTCAAGTCGATAAACTCCGCGTACAAGCAACAGGAACGCGAACGACTGAACATGGTAAGGCGCAATAACCGCAGAGTGTGCACCTTGATGGTCGAACAGATGGAGTATTTGAGTCGCAAACACCCGAGTCTTGTCCCTTCCCAGTTGGTCCAATTGCTGGACGTGTCCATAATATCCAACATTGATTTGGCCGAAGTGTGGGAGTCTGCGGCAAGGGTAGCTTACCAAACCACATTGAAACTCCCGCGGACTGAACCGGAAATGCCACATCAAATTCCGGTAGCACCACCACCGTACCCGACAGCCACGCCACTGGTACAAGTGACACCACCCATGCACCCAGATTCACCTAGCATAGATTGTCCGTACCATCTTCACATGGGCCCTAACTTCGACACTTGCTTAGCTAAGCAGTACGTGTGCTTTGAGCCGATAGAGAATTATTATCAAAATAATGGCATGGACTCTATTCCCGATGTAAACAATCTAAATGATAATATCGTGAGTATTACTTGTATTCGATTAATTATTATTATTATTATTAATTTTAAAATTCGGGATGAACTATATATGGGCTACAGCCAATCAATAATATAAATGTACAGAATTACAGAGCTGAACAGAGTTCAAAAAATTTAAGAACTGAAATAATATGTTAAGAAAAAATTATAAGCAACAAAAATAAAAAGCGAGTAAGTGGGTGTCTCTCTGCTGTAGGTTACAACTGGGTTACCTACTGTAATGGATAGTGTTAAATTTGAATTAAATATATTAAATTATTGTATATGAAAAGGGAAAAACGATTCTAAGCGAAGACTGTCAGTATAATATGATGTAATTTATATTTGATGATATTATTGTGATTAGAGTAATTTATTTACTAATATACAACATAGTAATTACAAAAATTACTTTTGAAAATGTCATTGTGTCTATAAAATATAATAATATACTCTAAAAGTTTCATAATATATCCACGAATAATATTTTTAAATTACAACAAATTAACTAAAATCGTTATTCTTCTTTTTAATATATAATTTCGTCAAATTTGAACTTAAAAAGTAAAATAAATAACAGTATTTATATATTTACTAGAAAGTTTGGTTACAGTATGAATTATTTATGAGAATCCTTATTTTAAATGATCGATCCATAGCTATACGCCTATACAAATTGAACATTTTATAATTTTTTTCAATACAATAAATTTAAACATTTTTGATATTTTGATAAATGTTGTCAAAATTTGAGTTTTAAATACTAATAAAAAAAAAATCGTGTTTATGGATCTATATTTTTTAACTGCTATCAGAAATACTCATGAGGAATCTTGTATTAAGTTTTCAAACTTTTTGAATAAAATTCAAATGAATACAATTTTATAGACATTTATAGAAAAACTAAAAAAATTTTAAATTTAATTTTAGGGTACTTACAGTTAATGGTTTTTGAATAACGACAAAACAAGAACACGAATTTCTAACTTAAAATAATTTGCCAATTTTAGTAATTTTTCAAATATTTAACTTAAGAAGCTCATAAAAACGTTTGTGGATTTAACCTCAACTTTTTTTTTAATTTCCACTTACAATAACTAATGAGGAATATTGTATTATATTTTTAAGTATTTTGACCGTACTTATAATCATCAATAGATAAAAAAAACTCGAAATTTTCTTATGCCTACAAATAGCTAAAAAAAATCCCAATATTTCAAAAATTGGTGTATAGAAATTTCTAATATTATTTAACATTCAGTTAAAATGTCATGTCTTTACGTTAGAGTCAAACTAAAACTAAAACTCGATAACTGGTTATGCGTGAATATTTCTGTTTTTTAGTAATTTTTTGTATGTTTTTCCTGACACTTTTGAAAATTATTGGTAGTTAAATGGAATTTTTTACTTTCGAGTAAGTACGAAAGAAGCATTCTAACTGACCCAAAATGTGATAAAAAACACAAGTCATCGTACAATCAATACATTCATCCCTCCACTCAGAACCTAAAAATAATAATAATTAGGTACATTTTCCATTATCTTACATAATATTAATAATTTGATATTATACAGAGTAATTCATCATTCACTCCAGCAGCTCCACATTGAAGCTGGTATTTACAATTTAAAATGTTCTATATGTTCATTACCTATTAATTATTGTTGTACACTCACGTCTCTCGCAGAGAAAATGTGAGAGCTGAGATAACTGGAGTGTAATTGACTGAAAAAAAGTCAATTTTATTTGACAACAAAGCTTGAAAGGTGTTTAGTTTTTATTCCACTTTTTATTTTTAATATGAGTAAAAAGTGGATAAAATTAAGCGATGCCATTATAGAAAAGAGGACCACGAATACTTTTTTATTGTGATAGATAACAGTCATGTAACGGGAACATTTTAAAATGGTATAAATGATTAGAATTTATTAATTGTAATTTATGTTTCAAATTAACCAATTTTTAACAAAAATTTATTTTTGATGCAATAATAGACCTATCAAAGATAAAAAACTAAAATTAATCATATATCCTTTGTTGGGTTTATTTTTCATCAAATTCAACACAATTGTTCACAACTTTACAAATTTAAGAAGTTACAAAAACAATATTATCATGTTATAATATGCTTATATATTACGTATCATAATTTGCATAGGTAGTCTAATTATTTTTCCAACAAAACAATGACAAACATACTTCACTCACAATTTGTGTGCACAAAACATTTGCCCCATAGTCGCTAATAATTAATAATCCGTACTAAAAAATAATTAATATAGGTAGGTATAGGTAATAAATAATAGAATATAAAATTTCATCGCTGACCGCCGAAAGGGGATAAGCCCACTTTTTTAATTGTTTAGGAGAGACGCAAAACATGTCATGGACGTTTCTGTTGTAAACTATTATTGTCGAGACTATTTTTAAATATCGAGACACGGATTTGTCTCTTTTCTGCTGCAAACGATGTATTTACGTGTGCTAAGCAACAAAAATCTTGATGAAATCAAAATTGATAAAAAAATAGACTTATTATTTTTCTGCGTGGATATATTGTACGGTTCAATAGTATCTTATCTTATTATAAAGGCAACAAATCTTGTATGTTATCTAATCCAGTCCCGGTCATATATATTCATATATATATATATCGGTATTTATCGGTACTAGTTAACTAGGAAAACCGTGTGATTTATAGTATATATTAGCGAGCATATTATTTAGGAATTTTATAGAATAACTAAATATTGAATAAAATAACGTATTACATACATTACCACTAACATATATACCTACACATACACAACTAAATACGAGATACATTATCGAGAACTAAAGTAGTTTCTTTTTCTTTTTTTCTTTTTCATCCGTGAAGTTGTTTATGCCAGTCCAGTTCCATTTTTCGTTCGATGGCAAGTTGGCAAGTAAGGCACGAAAAAAGCAGTCCCAAGGGGCCACCGCTAAAAATCGTGCCTCAACATCGGCCACGTTCGCCGGATAAACTGTCCAGTGGCCGGTTGCGGCCGTCGACGGTGGTGACGGTTAGGTGAAGTTTTCGGCAGGACGGAAAACGGGGCGAGCCCGCCTTCGTTTCGCCGCAAAACCAAAAAGCGTGAGAGTCTATCCAACCCCACAGCCTCCGTCACCAACTTCCACCGGCTCAGCCGCCAACGGTGCCGCGGGCACATGCGCCCAAACAACTACCACCGTCAACCCACACATTTTGCGATCCAGCATGCCACCGTAGCGCAACATTCTACAGCTATCAACATTACCTCCGTCACGCAATTCTAATCGCGACGTCAATCGCGCCACACTTGCTACTCACGCATTTATCATTTAAACTCAAATCGCACCACAATTATTAGCAATTCTCTTCTCGACGTTAATTACGTAAACAAATTCCAACGCACTCGAGTTGTACTCGTAACCGCCCGAATCTGCCGTAATACTCGTCGCTTGACGCCGCTTGCGCTCGCCGTAGTATAATATTATACATAAATATATCAATCTATTAATTTTTACTCGATCACTGTGTCAAAATGGAGAACCCTCCGAACAGGAGAGCCAGACGGGCCAGACGGGCCAGACGCGGTCGACTACGCATCGACAGCTGGGCCGATGTGGACGCCTCACAAGCACCGCTGATAATCATCCAGACCACCATCTTGTCGTTCTTCACAGTTGTTGTGTTTCTGACTCCAATTTTGGTCAGCTGTTACGCGACGTATTACGCGTACGCCACAGAATTAAAATTATTTTACAAATTGATAATCTATCCATTGACGCCCAATTTTCCTCATTCCGAAGTGGTAAGATGTTGTGTAGAATTCCTAAACTCATTCCTCGTGACCACCCTTGTATTGTTTATCATTGTCGTTTGGCGTACGATGTATTTATGGATGCAATTAATCGTCGAACTCTTGTATAATGGTCAATTATTTTTGTTGTAATATTATATTATCATAATATTTTAATTCCATATTTCGCTATTAGTTATATTGTAGACGTAGTTATATAAAGCGAATTCCTGATTGACCGTTTTGTAACTTTAACTCAACGCCAACCATTAGGTTTTTTTTACACCGATTGAAAGATGTCGATCAGGGATCGCTATTACTATTGTAGTATGTAGTATTTAAAATATTATTCGATAGTTTTTAGTAGTCGTGACATATTTATTATTAATTTAGAATTTAATATCATAGAGATAATATTTTTCGGGAAAAGTTAATTTGTCCAATAATAGTCTTTACAAAAATCCAAATTTAAGTTTATAAATGAACTGAAATAGTTATGAAGATTACAGGACTTCATAAACTATTAATTATATCTGGCGACCCTCTCCCTCTAATTTTAAATCATTAAGAAATGGTAAATATGTCACACTTAGTTATTACTTATCAAAAACTCCTGCGTAAAAGCGGTGATATAATTTTAACGACTTATTTAGGTTAGGACTTATTTAGGTATACATAATAATATATTAAAATTTATTATTTACAGTTTTTTTTTCAATAATATTTTGTCTGTTGTATTTAATCTGGCCAGTAATAGATTATAATTGGATACTATTTATAGTATATATAGGTACTTAATTTATTGAAATTTTTAATTCATATTTTAAATCATTATGTTTATATTATACAAATATTCATAAAATAAAAGTTATTTTTAAGTTTATTTTATATACAAACGAAGGGTTAAGGGGAAAAACGATCATAGTCAAATGACAGAAAAAAATCAAATAAATAAATTAGTTTCATGACGAATATGACTATTATCGTTTTTCCCCGCAACCCTTCAAATTACTCATTTAAGTTTCATATTGATAAATAAGTATTCGTTTTACTTTTATCATTACATTCGAAAAACAAATATTAGGTAAGTACTCAATGTGACGATGCAGTATTTAATCGTTGATGTCACGTGAAGTCCGCACAAATAATATTTTACTACAAAAAAATCTAAGACTTTAACTAGTTAAACTACGTATATATATGAAAAATGTGTTCAAACCTTAAATATATACCTACATGGTACACAATTTACTAATTAATAATTTATGATTTTATACAATTATAGCTATGAACAATATGTAATACCTAAATATATAACATTATACGTATAATTACATAATATTATAATCAATAAACGTTCTGATTAAAAAAAAAATGATGTTTTTAATATACGCCTATGCGTTTGTCAAATCTTTATATAATAGTACCTAGATGATATGTTGAATTTTTCACAGTTGAAAATAATTATACAATATATTGTTCATATTGTGTGATCCATGTTCTATGGTAGTTGAAGATAATGGCTGTGGAAGATAATACTCGACAAAAGGTTATTGGTCGACGGAAAAAAATACTAAACCGTTTTCCATTTTTGTGGTATTATAACCATATAGGTACATTGTTCATCGGGCGGCGACGACTGTCAATAATATTAATGAGGTGTAGTGACTGTAATCGTCATAATTAAAATTATAGAAGGTACATTTTAGGTAATAATAATTGAGTATAATATAAGATAATAAACATTAAAATATTATTATATAGACAATAATATATATATTATAATATATACCAATAAAATCCTTATTATCTAAGGAAATATCTACAAGCCGTTGGAACTAGGCTACTAGCGTGTATATAAAAATACAATTGATAAAGGTAAGTCCTATACACAATTTACATAACTCTGTTAAATGGAATATATATATATACAAAAAAAAGCGGGTAAGTGGAAGTGACTTAAAAGAATACCAATGTAAAATCACTATAGCTTCCTCGCTCAACTCAGAATCTAAAAAAAATACTATACTTAATACTATTATTATAATAGGTATTTCTTATCTATATCAATTGATAAATCGGTTAATTTCATTTCATTAATTCTTAGACATAATAATATTATTATTATAATATAGGTAAGTACCTACTATTTTATTAACCCACATTCAAATATTATTAACAGACGTGATTTAACGGAATAATGAGGAATTTAAAATAAACATTTTTGTGACAAATTGCTTAAGATGAAAGGACGTGACAACACTGTACCTGGAGCGTTCTCCTTCTTACAATCGTATAATATTATAAATTTAAATTCATCAAAAATCTATTTTGTTTTGTTAGTTTTAATATTGTAGTTATCTGAACCAATATCAATTATCAACCAGAGGTGTATTTACACACGGCCGGCCCCTATAACACGGTTTAGGCTGTGAAATTTTGAGTGCGACAAATTTTATCATATTTTCATACTGAATTACATTTTTTTTTTTTTTTTTTGATGAAATCAAATTTTACTCATTTTTTTAATTTGAACAAGTTCGCGTCTGTCGGCTCAAAAATTAACTGCTATATTATAATATACCTACACATTTCACATATTATACGCAATACGGGCTTTGGTACAACTCCTTAAGGTAAGGTTTCTTTTCTGCAGCCGACTTCAGGCAGTGTTTGTAGATAAGCTTATGGAGCTGGTTTGTTCATGCTACGTGACGAGTGCGGTCGACTGCAGCGACTGCTGCTAGGACCATTAAAATGGGACGAACGTTAATTGCGTCCAACGAAGGGAAAAAATTGTAAATTGTATTTTTCAGTTTTAAATAATTACTTTGTAGTAAATTGAGCACGGTATTTTTCAGGTGCAATTATTAAATATAAATATTTAAAAATAAATTGTGTCCAATAGAAATATTATATTTCTGATGGTCATTTAGCATTACCCAAAGGACACCATGAGGAGGTGACTATGGTATCCGGACAATTTCCCCCCGGACATTTTCCCCCCGACTGTTTTTGGCGTAGTAGGACATTTTCCCCCCGAAAAATGTTCCGATGCGGACATTTTCCCCCCATTTTTTCATAAATATAATAAAAACGTAAAGTAATTGCACATAGGTATAAGTAAAATAGGTTAAAAATTTCATTTTTTTTTTCATAAATATAATAAGACATAAAAAAATTGTATATAAGTAAAATAGGTTAAAAATTTCGACATAAAAATGATATATTTTGTAAAAAACATTTAATTTCTGATTCTTTTTTTATATCTAAGCACATATTTTGTAATCGTCTTTCATGTTTATTTTTTTTTTGTTAAAAAAACCGTGCCTGTTTTAATTCTTAATAGTTTATTAATTGCCATTGAATTTGACTTTTGTAGTGCTTCAATGAACATCCAAATATTTGGATGCAGAGTTCTAACCAAAGTTTTAAATTTGTTATTGAAACCTTCACTTATATTATTTGTTCTACCTGTTTTTCTTTGTAGCATTATGTGCATTCCATAAATAAGGAGGAAATATTGGTGAAGATCGCCATAATGACAAACATGATTTCAATGTTACTAGCGAATAATACAGTATGCTAGTACTATTATTTTTTATTTAGACAATCTTTTAAATATAATATTACTATTATTTTATTGTTTTAAGTAGTTGAATTGATCAAAAATATATATCTACTATAATAGGTAATTATAGTATAATTGATTATATTTATAAAAAAAATTATATTTTACTGAAAAAAAATAATTTCTCATTAAATAATAAATAATAAACTTAAAAAAAAAATGGGGGGAAAATGTCCGCATCGAATATATATTGGGGGGGAAATGTCCTACTACGCCAAAAACAGTCGGGGGGAAAATGTCCGGGGGGAAATTGTCCGCCATTCGTGACTATCACTATCCTCCAAAATGGAATTTTTTTGTTTGCTTGAAATAAATAAATTAGTTAATAAAAATGGAAAAATGGAAAAATTAATTTCTTTTTTTAAATATAGTATATTGTGTGGCAAGGGCGGGAAGTGAGCCATTTCAGTCGCGGGCGTCGTGTGCGGCACGAGCCGTAGGCGAGTGCCGCATTTCGCACAAGACTGAAATGGCCTTCCCGCGCGAGCCACACATACTATTTTTTGTCACGCCCCTGCGTTCATGGAAAAGGTTATGCAGGGATCTATGCGTCATGCAAGGAGGTTATACTATACATTTAAGATGTAACCAAAAGTTTATGTTTTGTAAGAACCGTGGTAGGTATACATTTTACTTTCTGGTTGTGCAGGGGATACGCGCCCGGCGGCCGGCACTTTTGGGGATTTCCTCTTTTCCGCCCGGCACTTTTGGGGATTTCCTCTTTTCCGCCCGGCACTTTTGGGGATTTCCTCTTTTCCGCCCGGCACTTTGGGGATTTCCACTTTACCGCCCGCTGGACGGAAAAAGGACGCTTTCGAACGCTTCAACCGTGGTCGAAAACCAAACTTTCGGTGCAGGCGTGACAAAAAAATAATATCGGATTAATAGGTGTTTTAAATATTTTTTGTTAGGTTAATTTATACAGTAAATAATAACAAACATTTTAATAATACAAAATCAGGTAAATTATATAATTTAGAGTTAATGGTAATTACCAATTAGTAATACAATTATAAATTTGTATTATACTAATCCTAGTAAAAGTATCGGTCCCGGTTTTTAAATTTATATAAATAAGGGTTCCGGTATTAAAATTAATTTAAATAATGGTTTTGGTGAGGTTTCGGTTCCCAATATTCGTAGGGATCCGGTTCCAAAACTGGTTTTTTTCAGTAAGGTTCCAGTCCCTGAACCCCAATTTTCCATGTTGCCGAGGGTCTTTATATTTTATATAAAAAAAAAAATAAGAATTTATATTTTATATATTAGCATAATACGGAGACATCATCTTCACGTATTCACCAATCAATGAACAACAGTATTTAAAATGTATAAAATAGATATCGATGAATTTAATTTCACCTATAGATACTATGGGTACTTATTTTAGAAACCGAAAAATCCCGGGCGCAATTTATAATACTTACCTATTTTAGAACCAAAAATCCCGGGCGCAATTAAGTATAGTATTTTACTACAATTTACAAAAGCCGTAAAATACAGTCAACTGAAGCGATCAACT